TTTGATGATGAAACACTAAGAGTGAGATTTCCTATAGAGTTTTGCTATAGCATGTGACAAAGACAAGTCTGTTGAGGAGGTGTTCGTTGGGGGCAAGGGGGGGGAGGAGAAATTGGCATGTGGGAGTGACGCGTAATCTTAAAGGTTGGGAGATTGACGAGTATGAATCACTGTTAAAAGTCTTATCTTCAGTCTCACTCAATGAGGATCAAGATCAACCTGTGTAGACTCAATGCCTACAGGTCAATTCACTATGAAGTCTTTTTGCAAACATTTTACCAAGAGAGAGGGTGATGAAGAAAATTTTTTTTTTAGACAAATATGGAGGCTAAATGCACTACCGAGAATTGTTTTTTCTTTTTTTCTTACTTGGAAAGCTGCTCATAGAAGCATTTTGTCTATAGACAAGCTTATGAGACATGGAAAGACAATGGTGAACTGGTGTTGTCTTTGTAAGAATGAGGCAGAGACCTGTGATCACATTCTTCTTCAGTGCTCTATTGCACATAACTTATGGTCTATGGCCTCTAAGATCCTGGGGTACAATTGGCTGTTGGTAGTCAAGGATGAAATTGGGCAAGGAAGGGTATTGCGACTTGGAATAAATTTTTAGTGCTCATCCCTTTAGCTATTTTTTGGATTGTATGGAATGAGAAAAATAGAAGAGTTTTTGAGGATGTAGATGAGGGCATAAAAAGAATTAGAGAGAGATGGTGTCAGTCCCTTAGTATGTTGATAATGAAACAAGATTTGTTTTCCATCAAAAATTTTGGAGATCTAATTGATATGTTAATTGAATTGTAAATTTTTTTGTAAATGAGTTAAGCGCTCCCTTGGTGTTTGTAAGTAATACATACGTTACACTTTTTATTTTTTTTTAAAAAAGAGTATAAAATCTGGTGGGAGAATGAAGTCAAAATATTGACCAACTTGAACTTGCACTTCATCTTTGAGCTGAATATCATTAATCCCAATTACTAGTTTAAGTTCTTCCTAGCATTGAGCTTCTATATAATTGCTTTTTTTTTGCGTTGGAGGTGGGACAAGAGTGCATATTGACTATTGACAAATTGATGAGAAGACGAAAAATTATTTGAATCTCTACTATCTATATTTGAATCTCTACTATCTATGTCAGAGAGAAACACAATTCTGTATTCATATTCTACCGTGGTGTTCTGCTATGTATAAGTAGTGGACTATGGTTTATAGGCTACTGAGAATTAGCTAGAGCTAGCTCGGTTAGAAACCAGACTTGGGCATGGGAGCAAATTAGTAAGGGGAGACCAACCGTGAGTCTCATTCCTCTTACTTTTTTTTTTTGGATGATTTGAAAAAAGAGAAACAATAAAGTTTTTGAGAGGATGGAAAAGGAGTTTGGTAGAATTGCAAACAGATGGCTCCAGTACTTGGGCTCATTAGTGATTATGTACTGTATTCAGTTTTTAAAGGATTTTGGAAATTTTATAAACATACTTCCTAATTTGTAAATACTTTTGTATATGAGAGGCACCTTAATTGTGCTAGTGAATTAACAATTATATTATATTTTTTGTTTAAAAAAAAGAATTTATTGAAATTTATTTTATAGTTAAGCAAAAATGTTAAATTTTTTTGAAGTAAACTTTAAATTATTGTTATATTGATGCCTTATTAAGCTTATCTATTACCCAATAAAGGACCATAATATTAAATAAAAATAATATATGATAGACAACTCATATTTAGCAACCTGACATGTAAATCATAAAATAAACTCTAAATTCTAACTAATAAACCTAATGTAGAACCTACGTTCTCATCGAATTTTGAACCAAAAT